GTGTGATTTATTCAGTTGAAAAACCTAGGTAACTTTTATCCACTTAGAAATTCACGTTATTGGTCGAAATTTTAAACGATCGTTACTCTGATTGGTTGTATATTATTGGAGTGCATTAATCGGGGGTAAATACACAAGAGCTTGACTTTTAATCGGATAATTTTATTTTTACACGAAAGTTTTGTTACCATGGAAATAACTCGAAATCAAAAGCATGATAAAATCGCGACAGCTTTAGCTGGAGCGATTTTATCTTTTGATTTTGATTGAGAGTTATTTCCAAAGGGTAACAAAACTTGAGTGAATTAAAAATAAAATTATCCTGATTTAAAATCAAGCTCGAGCGTATTTTAGGGAGATTAATACACGACAATTGCACAATTTATCGACAATTTTTAATTATTTATTAACTATTTTTGACTTAATTATAGTTGTCAAAAATGTGACAGGTAAACAAAAGTATATATATGGTAGTCGCGTTTTTATCAGTTATAAAATATCACGTGTGATTTATTCAGTTAAAAAACCTAGGTAACTTTTATCCACTTAGGCCCACTTTTACCACCTCTTGATATTTTTATCCGATAGATAATTACCATGGTTACAGCGGTTTTAAGCGCTCCCATTGGCTAAGAGCGCCAATTTATCTATCGGTTAAATTTATCAAGAGGTGGTAAAAGTGGGCCTTAGAAAATCACGTTATTGGTCGAAATTTTAAACGATCGTTACTCTGATTGGTTGTATATTATTAGAGTGCATTAATCAAAATTAATTTTTTCGCATTGGGGGCTAAACTTCCAGTCGGTAGGTACTTGGAGTCATTTAAATAACCGTACGCAGGTAATTAGTAAATTTTGAAATCGGGCATTTCCACCTTCGCATTCATTGAAGATAATACTTTTGATCGAGATGTTAATGACTAAAATTGGTCAATTAGTTAAGGAGATAATTGATGTGTTTGATTAATTCGTTTTTTTGTGTTTTAATCAAAATCCCTAAATATTTAGAATCGGGCATTTCGACAACCGCATTCAGNAAGCTCGAAACCGGTTCCGAATAAATTGATATTAAGCAAGTAAGAAGTTTTTTATATAGTTTAAATTTTAAATTTAAAACTTGCAACATGAATCCCAAACATATAGATAATACAACCTGACGTTTTTAAAATTATTAAAATAGGAATGTTTAATGTTTGTCCTAAGAAAAGGTTAGAGAATTGTATAATGAAAGAAATAAACTGGTGTAAAAGAACCTTCTTTACTATAAAACTAAATAATAACTAAATAAATAGTGGTAGTGAAAGTACGAATTTTTCAATAGTGGTAGCTTTAACATTTTCCCAGGCATACGATATGCTGTATACAGCACCTCGAAGCGTAATTGATTTCCAAAACTGTAAAAGAGCATTGTTGTCTTTTACGACCAGATCCAACATTAAATTTGTTCTGTACAACTTCTTCATTGTTTCAATTACGCCCTGATCCATGGGTTGAATTAAGGCGATCACACTTGGCGGAAGATACAAAACTGTGATATTCCCGTGCTCAGCTGACAACGCTTCAATTGGTGAATGCACATTATCAAGAAGCAATATTGCTTTTTGAGGGAGACCTTTGCCGTCCATATATTTTAGGTCATACAGCTACACCCCCCTTTCAAGATATCAGCATTTTGATACCACTATATTTATGTACTAATTTTGTACGACATTAAAAAGTTTTGTACTAATCATTTAGTATTTTTTTTATATATATCAAAGTGAGAGTGTAGCTGAACGTCCAGTTACACCCCCTCCATATACAACCCCCCTTTCAAGATATCAGCATTTTGATAGTGCCATAATTTTGTACTATTTATATGTTAATTTTCTGCTACATTAAAAATTTTTGTGCTAATCATCTAGTACTTTTTTTTATATACAGGCTTTCCCAAAACTCCCGTGACGGAGCTATAAGTTTTGAACGAGTGAAGAAAAAAATTTCAAAATTTGGGGATCACTAAAGAATCATAAAAACTACATTTTTAGATAGTTTAGAACTTCCATGCTTTTGTATAGTTTCATGGATTAAGGCGATTTCCAGAGCTTTATCGACGACTACGATAAATGACTTTTATCTTAACGAATAAAAGAGCCATTAAATCAGTCTAAGAAAATTTCTGTAGTCATCCATGCATTGGTTTCATTTCAAGAGGTATATTTACGTTTTTAAAAGCTCTCGGATTTTTTGCTTTTAGTGTCACTAACAACTTTATTTTTTTTGGACCATCAGCATTGCAACGTGCTAGAAATGTAACGCGTTCTTTTTTTATTGTTTTTTGTGCAGTCTTCTTCTGAGAACGAACCAGCATCTTTTAGGCTGCACTTTCCAATACAGAGCAGATTCATCTGCATTGTATATTTGCGTAGGTCTGAGATTTAGTTCTTTTATCTTCTCTACGAATACAATCAGGAGAGGATTGACAGAGTTTTGATCATTAGATAGATTTTTTTTGTTTGAAATTCAGCTTCTGCTATTTCCAAAACTATCATTTCGTGTATTATCATGCGTATGAAATTGGAATGTGTTGATCGTTGCGTAGAAAACTATGTATACAAATGAGTTACAATTTTTGGATTGTATTACCCTTTGAGACTGACGTCCCTAAATACTACCAACTGTATGCATAATTTAAAAAAAATATTAAAATCTCATTAAACGTTTAATAGATTCCCACAGATAGAACAATTCAATTTACCTGAGCTATAAGAGTACGTAAAATGGATGCGTAATAGTGTTGCACATCCCTGAGTTGCATGACAAAACAACACTATTTGCCTATATGAGCTCCTTGGTGATCTGTACCTGAGTATTCAACTATCAAATCAATAATTTTCAGAGCACATTTGATGTAGTTTTGACAAATTTTTGTACCATAATAGTCTACGCACTATATAATAGCCTACACATATGGTACGGGAAGTCATAGCTACATAATACTGTACACAGTACAATACACACACAATGCTGTAATCCAATGTACGGATTTCTCGGTATTTCTCTCAAGTTTAGCTCCAATATGCCTGCTGCATATAATTATCTTATTATTATCTATTTACTTTAGTTGACACACTTTACACTTACTTTAAGATAATTGACTGTACTGTTCAAGACTGTTGTCTTGAATCTTTCAATGGTCAATTTAATGTCAATCGATGGGAACATGAAAACGGATAGGAGATGGAAGCGTTACCATATTCTATGGTGTCACTATTTCATATTCAATATAATTTGGAATCCAAAGCATTTTTGGTCATTTACCAGATAGAGAAAATGCGGCGGTCATATTTCATATAATGATACAGTAAATTGCTGTTGAAGCTCATGATAACAAGTCATTATTTACACAGTGTTAACTTTGACAGTTCCCCTATATACAGTTTGATTTAAAGAACATAATTCCAATTCAATATCTGTTTATTAGTCATTCAGAATTATTTATATTATTTAATATTGATGTTAAGTATATATTTACTGTTAACAAACATTTTCGCAGCTTAACGAATGGTATAAAGCTATTCAGGCTTACTGCGTGACGGTATACCTTTGTAATCGTATTGTGATGCGAATCACGTAACAGTCAACCCTAGTAAGTATGACCTTATTTCATTTACAAGGAAAGCGAACTCAATAAAATAAAACTGTGGTGTTATACAACACAACAGTGCATAAACAATTTCAAATCAAAAAAAAAAATAAAACTCTCAAATGCGAGTGTTTGGCCATATGTCTCCAACG